GTGCCTGGGTAGCAGGGAGGTTTGACAGGGTGACATGGCAGACAAGAATTGCAGCTGGTGAGGCAGACAAGAGACCAGTCAGGTAGACCTTTGTCATGATGTCTTTGATTCTCCAGAATCTGAGCAGCCTTCTGATTTCAGAGGGAATCCCACCGCCCATGAGTCCTGTGGTGGGGGGTGGGGTGGGAGGAACCTACCTTCTACTGCACATGCACAGGGAAGGGAACTTTGTCTTTTGCTCCCCTTATCCAATCTGATGCTGTCCTCTGGGGTCTTTGGGGCTCAGAACTCCTGACAGTGACAAAAGGGCATGGACAGTAGACCTTCATTCCCAGAATGGCACCTGGCCCGGGGCCCCAGAGCAGCAATAAGTGTCTGGTCTATGAGGAGGTGTGGACGTAAGGGGCAGCTCCAGCAGCAGCCCCTGAATAACATGCTTCTGCCACGTGTCAGGAAAGCCCCCGCCACCCAGCAACCCTTGTCCCTGACTGAAGGAGCTGCTCTCCATCAACTTTGCACTTTGAGCTGAAACTAGCTGAAGGGTTCTTGCCTCAGTAGAAATTATACGGCGGTGGTCTAATGAAGTGGAAGCCGGAATGCCTACCATCCTGCTTCTTCCTCAGTTCCTGTTTGCCCGTGAAGAGAATTCCAATCGGCTGCTCGTGCTTCAGCAATGCCTCCCTAAGCGCCACCCCAATTGGAAATCATATGTATGTCCCATGCCCAACATTTCCAGCAGAGAAAGCCAGCCCCGGCAGTCATGAGTTCTCTCCACGTCCTTAGAATAAAGGCTATTTTTCTCTTTATATTCTACCTTTTATCACGCCAAAAACCTTACCACTAGCCTTCTAAGTGGACACACCCCACCACTGGATCAGTCCCTCCATGTCACTCCAGACATCTTTCCTTAGGCTGGTCCTCAGGCATCTACTGGTCAATCCCAGTGGCTGGGCTGCTTGGTGGGTCAGCTGCGTGGAAAATGCCTGTACATGCAAAAAAGAGTGGCTCTCTGCCCTCAGCCCCTAGGGCATCGTGTGCTCAGGGGCCTGCTGAATGCAAAGATCCTTCGACTCTTCCTGCCTGCACAATTTCACAGGTCAACTTGGTGGAAGCTCCTACTTACCAGTAGGAGTCTTTACGGGAGCCCCGCCATGCGGGCATCTAGCCTCTGCTTGAATTCCCTACATAGAGCAGCTGTGTCTTGAGCAGGGCATTGTTGAGGTGACCTCCTGGAGGTCACACACCGCTCGGTAATGGAGCATGTGGGTCTCCCTTGCTGTCCTCTTCCTGTTCCCTAAGACTCCTCTCTGGGGTCGCTGGCCTTGTCAGCACTCTTGTTCCCCACACGCCACCGGCAGGGAATGGTGGAGTGAGTGTGTCCCCTGGGCCTCCACATCACCAGCCTGCGGGCTGTGTGGAACGCATGGAGGCAGGGTTTATGTGTGGCTCTGCTGGGATCCCCCTCCCATTTCTCATTTTCTCTCCTGCGTTTGGTTGGGCTGGGAGATTGGAGCTGAGGCATGCGGGGGTGGCTGGAACGGTGTGTGTGCGCTCGCATGAACGCATACAGCCGCGTGGGAGGGCATCGGGGCGGGGAGTCTCTGAGTCCAAGACCGAGCAGCCGCTCACTGCCAGTGGACTCGGGCTCTGACACGCACTCCCAGCGCTTAGGCCTTACAAACTTTCCTGATGTTGACAGGAACAGATCTGAAGACACAGCTAGTCTGCATGGTTTCCTTGGCAACTTCAAAACAGGGCGGGGAGGGGAAGGTGGGAACCCGAGAGAGGGAGGGGTTGGACTCTTACCATTCAGCTGTCTTGCACACACCCTCCCCCTCCCCCCAGAATAGCTCAGGATAAAATGTTGAGCCAGTCCTGGCCCACAGAGATGGAACAATGAAGGACGGAGGAGCCCCTGGATGACGGAAAGGATAAATGCTTCCTGTGGGACTCCAGCGCCCTGTTCTCTTCTCACCAGAGTGACTTATCTTCCTCCATCATCCGCCTCCCTCCCTATACTCTATCCTTCTCCCCACCTCACCGAACTCCCTCAAGGGAAACCCGAAGCCCAATGGGGTTCTCAGCCTGAGAGAAACAGGACTGGCAGAGAAGGGAGGAGTGCAAGTCTCCCCTCCCCCACCCCCAACCTTGGGAGGGCTCCATTCCTAGAAAGCAGGAGACTGAACTGAGTGGAGGCGGGAAACAGACTGTTCATTAAGAACAAAGGAGGTTTATTAGTAATTAGTGAAACTGCTTCCCCAAGCAGGGTCCCCTCCCCAGTGCATGTGCTCACAGCACCTGTCCTAGGAGCCACAGCCAGGGCCCCAGGAGCACCCACGCCTAGCAATGTGGGGCAGCCCTGGCCTGTTTTCAAAGTGCAGGCCTCTGGATCCACTGAGTCCTGATCCCTGTCCCTCTGTGCCTTGTCTTTAGAATTCTTCTACTTAAGAATCAGGTTTCAGAAGCAAACAGACCAAAACTGCGTAGCCCTGCAACTACACTTCAGCGACGGCCACACTGCCAGCCCTTGGCATAAGCCAGACAGCCAGCAAGGGTCCTTGCTGGGTCCTCAGAATCACCCCTTCTTGTTGGAGCAGCAGTGCATTCTGGGAGCAAGTTCAAGGCAGGAAAGAGAGCCAGTGGCTGTAGGACCACCTATCTCTGCAGCCCACCCAGCCAGTCAGTCTAGAGGCTGGCTCAAGTGAAGATCAGGGTGCTGTTGAGAGTAGGGAGGCTGGAATTCCAGCCTGGCCCAAGCTCTGTCCAGCTGTGATGGGGAAGAGATAGCCATGCTTCTGGTGGCCACATTCCCAAACCAAATACTGGAAGGCAGAGCCTGACAAACAGTGTCTGGGGAGGGACAATGGGACAGAAGATTTGCAAGAAGCCTTCTGGTGCCTTAGCTTCCTGAGTCCAATCCTCCTTTCTCAGTCCAGCCTGCCAGCTCGTACCTCCTAGGTGTGCTGGACAAGATCTCTTTGGCTTTGTGCTTCCAGGAAACCAAGGATTCCAAGGATGGTCACTGTTTCCTCCCCAGCACCCTCCCCAGTGTGCCATGACTGGATGTAGGGAGAGTCCATTTGTCTCTAATTCATCAGTTTCACTCTGCAAGCTCCTTTTCAATGTGCTATCACCCACTTTTCCTGCCCAGGATCTCCTGCCACCCTCAGTTACCTCTGTTCCAGGCAGCAAACTGAGGCCTCTGTCAGCCACCTGCCCCTCCTGGCAATCGAGGGATCAGAGACACTGAATCTTGAGGGTCGTAGGTCCAATCTGAGGACAAGGCAGCACAGAGGATGGATAAATCTATGATGCTGCAGTAGGTGGCTTTGAACCACTTGTGATGAGGACAAAATATCTGGAAGAGGGAAGAGGAGTGGGGAAGAGGGAGCTGGGAATAGTTCATGAAAGACTGACTTCAGGTTTGTGATGTCTGTCTGTCTCCTTTTCTTTTCATTCACTTGTCTCGTCTGGAATATTTTTCCAAACCTCACATAGGCGTATTTACTCCATTTAAAAGAAGGGGATTCTCCCCAGATACCCTGGGGAGAAAAATGGGCACAATGATTGCAAAGATGGCTTCTCTGTAAGTGAGAAGTCATGATGGGGCCACACCATGATGGGGGTCTTCTGAGGTTCCTATTTTGAGTGCTGAGCCGCCCTCCCCCCCACTAGTGTGACCCCTCTCTCTCAATCTGGTGCTATGCTGCCAGAGAAATTGGATGGCTTCTGTGGTCAGTGGCTCTGATGAGCAGAGTGGGTCCTAGCAAGGCAGAGAGGGGTCTATGGGCGAGGGTCACTTCTGGGCTTCATCTGATAGACTCTGGGGAGGCCCAGATCCTGAGGGAACAGAGGGAAGTCTGAGGTGATTTTTCTGTGCTGGGTGGGTATGGAGCTGCAGCTGGAGTGCTACATAATAAAATCTGTACTTTCTGAAGATGCTGTCCTGGGAGGATCTAGAGACATCAAAGTTTGTCTTAGTCATTTTCTTGTCACTGGGATGAAACACCTGATAGCCACAATTTAAAGGAGGAGACGCTTATTTGGTTCACATTTCAGACTATGGTTGGCTGGCTCCAAGCCAGAAATGTCCTGGTAAAAGTGCCTGGCAGAGAAAGTTGCTCCCATCATGGGAGCCAGGAAGCAGAGAGAGAAAGAAGGGAGGAAATTTCAGCTTACTCAAGACAAAAGGACAAGGTATGTCACTTGGTTTTTGTTAGTTGAAAATATTTTAGTATTAGTTGCATGTTTTAAAGTTTTCACCATTCTAGATATGCATAAAATTTACATTTCCTGACATCTAATGGAGAGAGAGATGCACCCTTCCAGCTCACACCACCCAGCACCTCCCAGTGGCCCTCTGAGCCGAGCTCATCAGTGGACCAGTCTATAGCTAAGTACAGCACCCTACCATCCAATAGCTCTCCAAAGCCCCAACTCTGAGCACATGGGAATCTTGGCACACATTCACACACATTCTGGATCCAAACTATAGCAGCCATGTAGCTAGGAAACATGATCAAGATGCTTTGGGCCCAAGGAGACAGGATACTTCTGGAACCTTTCTCCCCAGCCATCTTGTATGATTTTCCTGGGGCTGCTGTAACAATATACTACACATGTGGAGTTTATAATAATGGAAATGTGTTCTCTCACAGGTCTGGAGAAATCAAAAATCAAGCTGTTGGCAGGGTTGGGGGTTTTGGAAGCTCAAAGGGAGAATCAGTCACCCTCCCCATCTCTTTAATCACCCTCCCCCTCTTCTGTAGCTTCTGGAGGTGCTGCTGTCCCCAACACTCCTTGGCTTGTAGATGCACCCATCCCATCTACTCCTTTGTCTTTACACGACGTTCTCCTCTCTTCTTCTAGGCACACGGATGTTTGGGTTTAGAGCCTACCCCAAATCCAGGGTGATTTCTTCTTGAGATCTTTAATCATACCTGCAAAGGCCACCTTATTTCCAAATGAAGTCATAGTCTGAGGCTCCCACTGTGCATGGATTTTGGGAGATGTTGTTTAACCCGCTATGTCCCTTAATTCCACGCTTAGTGGGTTAGGGGTAAAAAGACCTTTACAAGGTCTGCCATCACTCCATGTCCCTCCTCTGGGTCTGTCTTTGAGGTTGGTGACTTCCCAGGGTTCAGCATTCAGCCTGCAATGATCCTGTCTGCCCTTTTGCTTGGAAAGGGTGTGTCGGAGGCATTCAGCAAGCCAGGATGAAGCAGTTCACCTAAATGCGCAACTTTGTGTTTTCTCTAGGAACTGTCTCAGCTGTTAGTCTGTGTACCTCTGTCTGCCCCTCCAACCATACACAAGCTTAGCTGTGACTCTTTCCTTGCCTCATAGCCCTTGGCCATCCCTGCCCTCCACAAACTGCAGGATTACTCTTTAGTGAATGCTGGGAAGACAAGGTGCAGGCAGCCTGGCTATCAGTCACCGTAATGCAGAGGAATCAGCAACCATTACTGTGATGAATTGCTTTCGTGCTCCTATCACAAGGAGGGCCCCAGGAGGGAAAAGTTGAATTTACACGGCACACCCCACCCTTCTGTGTTCATCTTTTCTTGGTATTTTGAAGAGAAAAGATGTCAGCATTGAATGATTAGGGTCCCTCCTTCCTTTCAGCCCTTGCCTTTTTTTTTTTCCCCCAGAGTACTGGGGAGTGGACTAGGGGCTTGGCACTAAGCTACATCTCTAGCCACTTTTATTTTTATTTAATTTGGAGACAGGGTTTTGCTAAATTGCTAAGTTGCCCAGGCTGGGCTTGAACTTGCAATCCTCCTATTCTGGCTTTCCAGAGTGCTGGGATTACAGATGGGCCACACCATGCCCAGGTTAGGGCTTCTTCTTTAGAACAAGAGGATAGCATTCAGGCAGAGGGGCAGGGAATGTTGTAATTGGAGGGTTGAGCAGTTCTCACCCCATCTGTGGGACTGCTAAGGAAAGGGCTTGGGGTCTGCTGGTAAGAGCCAATCCTGCCCAAGCAGAGCGCCAAATGGGCAAAAACACTGGGCCAGGAGCAGGGCTTGGGGGACAGAGAGAATCAGAGGCTGGGGACATGCCAAGGATCAGTAGCTTTGTGGCAGTAAGATCCAGACCCCAGCTGGATCCTTCTCAGAGCTAGGGCTTGGGGCCATAGCTCAATGGTAGAGCACTGCCTCACGTAAACGAGGCCCTGGGTTTGATGCCCAGCACTGCAGGAAAGAAGAAAAAAATTATAATTACTATTAGTTATTACTATTATTATTACAAATTACTATTATTTTGGGCTGGGTTCTGAGCAATGAACTTTGTATATTATCTAATTTAATACTTAGCACACCACTGTGAAGTAAGGGTAATTATTTGCTTTATTGATTGGAGAAATAAAGCATGGAGAGATTAGTATTTGCTGACTATCAAACAGTAAGCTGCTGGAGGTTGGATTTGAACTCAGGTTTGTCTCATCTCAGTTGGTGAGTGTTTGCAAGCACCTAGTTGGACAGCCACCTTTTCTCCTTAGTTACTGATGAGATTAAGGGACCCTGGAGATGTAAGGTGAAAAGAGGGGTGACCACAGGGTGAGGAGCAGGAGCCCCCACGTTGAGGCAATGCATGGATTTGCTCCATAAGGGAGCCCCAGTGACTGTTACTGGGCACCCCCATGGGGGTGGGGGACCCTGATTGTCCCCAGAATCAGGAAGTGACAGGTGTTGGAAATGAGGCTTGTAGAGGAAGCATGGGGTGGAATTAACTACACATCAGAGTTCCCTGCCCCAGGCCTCTCCATAGAGGGAAAGACCCCTTCCCTTTCTTAATTAACTTCCGCTCTGTCCCTGGGGCATGCAGAGCTACTCACATTGCTTGTCACTGTTCTGGGTCAGGCTTGTGCTCTATTTTAGGTGATTTTCATCTTCCTTCTCCACACTTGCTCCTATTTGCCCCTCATCACAGCCACTCACTTCAGTGCCTTAAACATGTGTCCTTTCAGGCTGCTGCCCACCTGCAGACAGAGATATATATGTGTGTTCTTGTCACGAGACCATTGCCAGAGATGCATGATTCACAAGTGTGTATTCTTAATTCACGTAACTGTGTATGCTGATTCTCACCATTTCTTTGTTCACTCGGTGGCAGTTGTTCAGGACCCATTTGTGTTGCTATGTAGGCTTTTTATAGCATGGCGCTCCATCGCACGCATGTGCCTCAGTACTAGCCATTCCTAGCTGCTTCCATCTCCCAGAGAGGTGAGGAGCTTCTTGCACACATCTGTGGTCTGTGGGCTGTGGCTCGAACAGGGATGCAGGCCACAGGGTGCATAGATGCATCCCAGGTCCTCTCAACCTCTCCCAGAACTTGCTTCCTGTATCATGCGTGGAGCATTAAACTCTGACTTTTATCTGCTGGTTACCCCTTCACTTGCCCCTGCCTTGTCCTTCCTGCTGCATCCTAAGTGAAATGTGAGACCATGTTCTACTCACACTTGTATTCTTCTCAGGTCCTAATGCACATCTTATCCATAGCTGGCATTTCGCACACTCTTTTTAATAGACCTAACTGACATCTACTTTTCCACTGGAATGCAAATTTCCCGAGGCCAAGATTCGCGGTGTCCTATGCATCTTGACTGAGCTCACAGTCTCTGATCTATTTATCCTCAACCTCACTGTAGACTTTCTAAAACATGGTTCATGACCTTTCCTGACAGGTGAAAATAGTACCCTTAATCCAAGCCAGGTATGCTGCTGTGTACCTGCCATTGAGCGCTCAGGAGGTTGAGGAAGGATCGTGAGTTCAAGACCAACCTGGACTCTGTCGAGAGACCCTGTTTCCAAAACCAAAACCAAGCCAAATAAAACAGCAAAGTAACCTGAAAGTTCAGAGATTGAGGAGTACTGTATAACTAGGTTGTGTGTGTATGTAGTTTTTTGAGACAGGGTGCTGCCATGGAGTTCAGGCTGGCCTTGATCTTGCTTTGTTGCCCAGGCTGGTCTCAAACTTGCAATGATCCTTCAGCCTCAGCCTCCAGAGTGCTGGGATTACAGGTATAAGCCACCAAGCCCTAACCTTGGTTTCCCTTCATGTGCAGTAAGAAGGTTTGGTGGCTTCTTGTTGATGGTTGGAACTTGGGAAGATCAAGACTGAGTTATGCCATCTGAGAGCTCGCTGGGTCAGCTGCTTCTTCAGGAGAAGGTGAGGGTACAGGGGAAGATGAGGCCGGGCACCCACCTAGGTGAGGCTCTACTTTTCCCTGTTTTTGGTCTTCCCTGATACAGTCTGGTTTTTCCTATTTCCAGAATGTTCATCATCGAAGACATAGATTCCCAGAGATGGAGTAGAGCTTTCCTAGGAAGATCTAGAATATCTTCCCAGCAGAAAGAGGGAGCTGGACCCTGTGGCATGTGCCTGTAATTCCAAAACTCCAGGAGGCTGAGGCACGAGGATTGCAAATTACAGCTCAGCCTGCGCAATTTAGCAAGACTGTGTCTGAAAATAGAAAGGAAGATACAGTCCAGTGTGAGGCCCATGGGATCAATCGCCAGAACTGCGGGAGGGTGGGGAGGGATAACGAAGAATGATCAAAAGCAGATTGCAGGACTGCAGTGTAACTGGGACAATGTCTGGAATTCAAGGGCGCATTATTCACGGTCATCTAGATTGGAGAGCAGATGTAGAGCAGGTGTGTGAGCCACTGTCGCCTCACAAACACAAGCATCAGGACCAACCCAGGGGACTGCATTGCCCACCTGAAGATACCTATTCAAGAGGGGTGAAGGTGCTTAGAGAATGATACGGACTTATGCATTCAGATTACCCCCAAGGAAGTCAGATGGGTACCAGGAGCAAGGCCAGGACTGGCGGAACTCAGTCAGGATGCAGGAAAAATCATTGCTGGGAGAGGTCTGGGAAGGAGAAACCTGACCTGGCAGCAAAGGTCAGTGGCTCTGGGAGGCCAGGAAGTGGGAGAGGGAGAGCATATCAGTGCTGGGATCTGGGCTCAGCCCCAAGAGATGCTAGAGGCTCAGTGCTGAGGGGCTGGTTAGGATGAGAGGTGATCAGGGTTGAAGACAGACCTACTCAGGGCTTCAGGAGCCCCAGGAGGAAGCCACCATTCCAACAGGAAGGGTTAGAACTGGCTGACCATCACTTCTGCTATATTCTACTGGCTAAAGCACTCGCAGGCCAGCCCAGATTTCCGGGTGTTGCAGAAGGTCCTACTTCTCAGTGTACCAGTGGCAGAAGGACTCCTAGCTGTCTTTATCCTCCCAGGCGTGTTGTTATACAGTCTTCCAGCTTGGTCTTGTCCCCTCCCCTATCTCCTTTCCCTGGCTGCTGGCCTGCAGCCTCCACACTCCTCTATTGCAGGCACAAACCCTCTTCTAGTCCCTACTGCTGAATTCCTGGTGCAAGCATGGTCATTCCTCTTCCAGAATCCACACCCAGTTGTCCTGCCTCACCCCTGACAGAGTCATTTGGACCCTTTTCTAACATGAACTTAATTCTGGAAAAGCTCCTCCCTCTCCATCTAACAGCACCAGCTCTCTGCTATTCTTTCCCTCTCTCTTTCTTTTTGGGTGCTGGGAAAGGAGCCCAAGGCCCCACATGATGGGCAAATGCTGTACCCCAGCCCCCAGAACCAGCTCTCACCTAGTGCTTTCCAACAGCAGCTGCTGCCGCTCTGATGAAGAGGGCTCAGCGTCCTCTTCACTCCTCAGCACGACTTCTGGACTATTCTTAATGCAGGGCTTAAAGTTGAATGATTTCATTAAAGTCTGTCAATCCAAGTGGAAGCTGAGAAGAGATACAGTTAATCATCCAAGAACGTTTATTGATTGAGATGCCCAGTCCAGTGAGGAACCAAGCATAAGGATGCATCGTGAGACTGATCTTGGATCCTGAGTGCCCTCCAAAGGTCATGTGCTGAAAGCTTGGTTCCCTTGTTGCTGTTAGAGGCAGAGGAACCGTCAGGAAGTGGGGTTTGGTGGAAGGAAGTTAGGTTGTTGGGGTTGTGGCTTTTTTAAAAAATATTTTTTCTTTTTACTGGTACCAGGGATCGAACTCACGACTACCTGCTTGCAAGGCAGGCACTTATGCCGCTGAGCTAAATTCCCAGCCCCAGGGGTTGTGGCTTTGAGAGGAGAGAGAAGAACCCTAGCTCCCTCTTCCTTCTCTGCATCCTGGTACCAGGAGACTGGTAATTTACTATACCACATGCTCCCACTATGATGTCCTGCCTTTCCATAGGCCTAAAAGTGATCTCTAAAACCACAAATCAAAATAAATGCCTTTCCCCTAGAATTTGTTTAGCTCAGCTATTTTGTCATAGCAACAGAAAGCTGATTATCACAGTGACTATCAGATACAAACAGGCAGACAGAAAGCTCCCAGAGGACAAAGATGAAGTTGCATTTGTGTCTTAGGGCCTGACGCAACAAAACTCAACAAATGCTAAATGCAAGAATGAATAAACGAATGGCTTCATGTTTATCATGGATATAAGGTTACTTCCAGAAAGCCAACTTTTCCCGGTTTAGATGAACTGTAGTTCACCTGAGTCATGTAGAAACCTCAGAGGGATTTCAGGATCAAGGATTAAAATTCTCCTTTAAAAATCCTTGGCATCTGGCCATTTGCTGATGTTGGTTCTTCCCAACCCAGATGATGATGCTCCTAACTCCAAGACTGCATGACCTCAGACCTGACTCCCAGCCTGGGCCACCCTGCATGCCCTTTGATCACAATCTTGGTAATTCAGTATCCTCTTGAAGCTATTTCTTTTCAGGGCTCTTGCTCTAACAATTTTTGACCTCAGCCTGCTGTTGCTTGGCTCCAACCTTGCTTGCTAGATTTATTTTTAGATCCTATGCTGTCAAACCAGGTGCCCTCTCCCCTATCACACATGTTTGTGCTGCTCGGGCCCCGTCCCCAAGAGTCAGCACAGGACTCCTCCTGCCCTCATGCCACAGGCCAGTTATAACACTGCCTCCCCCATTCGACTTGTACTGATTCACCTCTTCTTTCCTCAAAGTCGCAGACTCTTAGCAGTCAGATCTCTGACTTCTGGTCCCTTGAGTCAGGCTTCATTGTCTCTACTTTGATGGTTTTCATGGAGAGGAGGCTGTGCCTCGCTCATTTCTGTCACATCCTTTCATCCCCACTCCTAGCATAGGAGCATCATCATTTTATCTTCACAGCATTCCATCTTGTATGGAGTCCTCCTTCTTCTCTGTCATCCAAGAGGGGCTGTGAACAACGGGGCCCTGTCTCCACCTCTGCAGAGTTGCACAGTATAGCAGACAAGGCTGGTGGATGAGAAAACTCTACCCCCTGGCACCAGAGATGGCAAAAAAAAAAAAAAAAAAAAAAAAAGAAACAAAAACAAAAACCAGAACTGAGTCAGGGTCTGCTTTAAGACTGGCTGCATCTATGGGCAGAGTTGACCTTACATTTGAGTTTGCAAGCCATGAGGATGATGTAACTTGAACTGGTTTGTGGTCATCTCTCTAGGTCAGGGGAGGAGGTTCTTTGCTCTAGGAGAGAATGAGTCCTATCTCAAAAGAAGAAGAGATAGAACTGGGCAAGGCGGCACAAGCTGTAATCTCAGCTTTTCAGAGGATGAGGCAGGAGGATTGCAAGTTTGAGACCAGTCTGGGAAATTTACCAAAATCCCCATTTCAAAATAAAATTTTGAAAAGGAGAAACTGGGAGTGTAGATCAGGCTTTAAAGAGTTTATTCTCCAGTACTAAATAGGGAAAGAGAGAGAGAGAGAGAGAGAGAGAGAGAGAGAGAGAGAAGAGCAGACATGTTGTACTCTAACTATTTCATGGTTAAGGAAGCAGGAATACCGGGAAATAATTCACCAAGAATCCTCCCCCTAAGTGGGTAGAGCCAGGATTTGAACCCAGGCTATATGATTCTAAACCAGTCAAGCTCTGTGGCCTTGGCATGAGCCAAGATGAACATAAAGGGAAAAGAGATGAATTTACGCATTTATGAGCAAGTGTGAGAGTTGACAGCCCCCTTGGAGCTCCTGGATCTAGCTGTGCCTGGAGCCAGCTGACTCATGGCTTCAATGCATTCCCTTTCTGGTCTTAAAATAGTTTGCGGTATCAGTCACTTTCGACCCCCTGGGTTCATTTCAGGAATAATGTGTCTTTGAGAAGGAGCCCTGTTATTTCTGGGTTTGCATCTCGACACTTCCCTTTACTTAGCACCTAAGCTTGGATAAATTACTTGACCTCCCAGGCCCCTGGAGGTAAATGACTTATCCTCTCAGGCCTGGGGCTGGGACTGAGATTACATGGAAATGCACTTAACACTCTGCTAATACAATTGAAGTACTCAATAATTGCTAGAGTTCTGTGTTTCCTTTTCCCTATGTGGAGTAACTGTTCAATAAGCGTTTGTTGAATTGAATTAAAACCCTTAAGCAGCTACAGGATGCTTCCTAAATTTAAAAGCAGCTGGATGAAGCTGCCAGTTGCCAATAAGGTGGCTTCTCAGCCTGAGGGGTCCCCTTACTCTTATTTGACCATTAAAAAAATATATGATTCTGCTCTTGTTCTGTTTCCCCAGAACCTTCTCCTTACCGGCTTTCAGATCTCTCCAAGAGTGCAAATGGTGTCTGTGACAGTTATCAAGACAGGGTGGCCTGAACCCCTCTGTTTCTCTTTCCTTCCCCTTCCACTTTCCATCCATACCCACCCACTCACTGGGTCTCTCCCCTTCGTCGACAGTGCCCTAGCTCAGAGGTCTGCAGCAGCTCCCACCCAAAATGGCTAGAAACACCCACATTTAGTTGACCAAACCTCCCTTTGCCTTAAAAGTGCTTCTGGGATAATGGGCGAGGTCTTGGCAGACCCCCAAGGCTCTCCTGGGCTGCTGGCCCGTGCTGGCCCGCCCATGCCCGATGACCAGACTCGTCTCTACCTTGATATCTTAAGCTTCTGTGCCTGCTCTGGGGGCTCCCTCTGCCTCGGCACCCTGGGCCCCTCCCCCTCCCTCCTCCACCTCTTACTCATCCTTTAAGATGCTGCACATCTGAGTCTCTCTTCTGGAAATAGTCATTGAGTTCCCACCCCCACTCTGGGGGCCAAGGGCTCCTCGAATTCCCACAGCTCCGTACACGGCTCTGTCTTTTCTGATGGACAGGATCAGTTCATGTACCTGCTCTGAGGTCCTACTCCTGTCGGGATCCTCGCACCCAGCAGTGGTGTCTGGCACCCAGAGGGCCCACCCCCGCTTGTAGACAACACCAAAGCTCTGTGAAGGGACCAGAAAAGAGAAAGGAGACACAGCTTTTCTTTGCTATTCTCCCCCCACCTCAGATTCAATTCCTGATTCTCATTTAGTTCCTCGCTTGGTTTTCTTTCTTCCAATATTGAAGCCAGTGTTTCTCTTAAAGGCAAATATAGTGGACTTAAGATGTAATTACTGGGGACAAAGAGGGCATTTTCTCACCTTATAAAGTGGCCAGAGGTCTCATTTCCTGGTTTTACAAGGAGAGAAAGCTCCACCAGTAGTGGGAAAGGCGAGAATTTTCTCCGGATTCTGTGTGGTTGTAGGATTGCTTGTGTTTTTGTGTAATCCTCCACACAGCTTTGCATGCATGATACATGAAGAGGTAACCTTTGGCTACCTCAAAATACTCCCGTCTCAGTGTTTAAAAGGATGAAGTTATTTCATTACAACTAAATATAGGCAGTGAGTCTGCACTGATGCATAACTTAGGCAAATACATGTAAATCCCTTGCAGACGGGGATCCCAGGCCCATCCCTGAGTTACTAAGTCTGAGGCTTCTAGCTTCTAGCTCTCCTCCTCCCCCTGCTGCTGACCTTGAGCCCCAGGACTGCATGATTTGGTGGGTTGCAGGCCTAGATGCAACCCTGGGGCAGGCAGGAGGTGAGACCCGGGAGGTGGCAGGCAGGACTTTGTGGGAGGTTGTGCTGGGCAGGAGTCCAGCTGCTCTGAGGCACTGCGGGAGTTTCATTCCTCTATAATTCTCATTTTTACCCCCCTCTCCAATCTGTTTCTCATTAAAAAGAGATGTGTTCTTCTTTCTGCCTTACCTCCCGCCTGGCTCCCTTAGCTCTGTCTTGGGTCCAACCCGGGGACCCGGGGACCCGGCTGCATCTGCTCTTGCTTAAGGCACAGACTAATTCAAACCCGAGAGGCATTGTGGGCTGCCCCCCTCCACCTCTCCCCAGATGGAAAATTTGGCCTCAGCCTGCCCTTGACTGGAAAAAGCAGGGTCAGCTTGTCAAAGCAGAACAGGATTGTTAGCTAGCGTTCCTCTTTTGGAGGGCTATTAAGTAGGCATGGCTCTGGAGAGCTTACCGGGACTTGACTAGCCTCTGCCAGCCATGTGGGAGGCAGGTTCTGCAGCAGGTGTCGCCCTGACAGTGCCAGGGAGCTTTATGAGAGAGGCACGAAAGCCTGGGTGCCGGGTAGCCATGCAAGGGATGCGTGCAAGTGACATGAGCTAAAGCAGGCTAAAGGGACATGACTTTTCCTCCTTTACTTTTTGCTTTTCTTACTACTGAGGATTGAACGGAAGGCCTTCACACTGAGCTATAGCCCCACCCTTTTAATTTTTCATTTTGAGTGAAGGTCCTACTAAGTTGTTAGGCCTCAGCCTCCCAGAGTGCTGGGACTGCAGGGTTCGCTTCTATACCCAGTTTAAAGAGCCTTGTTCTGGCAGGGCTGCTGCTTTGCAGAGGATGCTGGGGCCAAGCTCACTGCTTCCTCTTCCTGTTCCTCCTGTTCCCTGGTTGTAGAGGAAGCAGACATGTAGCTGTGAAGCGGAGACCCTGCTCTGCACTGTACTGACTGATTCCTGGAGCTTGTGGCTGATTCCCAGCACTCACATGTTAGGGACTGAAGGTGATTTGCTCTCGAATACCGGGGAATGAACCCACAGCGTTTGTACTAAGATATTTTTGGTTTTTCATTTTTTTTTTTTATTGATTGATGGGGGTAGGGTGTGTGGTGGGGCAGTGTTGAGATAGGATCTCATTATATACCTTAGGCTGGCCTTGAACTCACTATGTAGCCCAAAATGGCTTTGCACTCACAGTGATCCTCCAGCCTCAGCCTCCCAAAAGCTGGGATTATAGGTGTGCAACACTATCCTGTTTTTTTTTTTCTTTAATTAAAACAGGGTCTCAGCCAAGTGTGGTATTGCACTCCTGTAACCCCAGCACTTGGGAGGCTGAGGCAGGAGGATTGTTACAAGTTTGAGGTCAGCCTGGGCTACAAAGTAAGCCCAACACCACCCTGAATGGCATAGGGAGACCCTGTCTCAAAAATCCAAAAAAGAAAAAAAAAAATGTGTTGGAGAGGGTGCTGAGGATTTAGCTCAGCGGCTCAAGCACTTGCTTGATAAGTGCAAGGTCATGAGTTTGAACTCCGGCACACACACACACACACACAAAAGACAAAACAACAACAAAAAGCCAGAGTCTTGCTAAATTGCTAAATTGGCCAGGTTAGGCTTGAGCTTTCAAACCTCCTGCTGCAGCTTCTGAGTGCTGGAATTAAAGGTGTGCACTACAGGCCCAGCAGAGGATGTCTCTTTCTAAGGAGTGGTGGCCACGCATCCCAGTCTGTGTTGCTATTTTAAGAACCTGGATTTTCTTGAGATTGGTGGAGCCAAGGATCTGGCCTAAAAGCTACACATACAGGAGAATGGAAGAAAGGAGTCTGCAGAGGAGTCATCTGGACTTGGGGCCAGAGAGGGTATGTGTGTGTGGGATGGTTGTGAAGAAAGAGGTCAAATCTCAGCGACCAAAACCTGATCTGGGAAGAGGAAAAAGAAACGGAGGCTGCTGGCAGATTCCTCCCCCACTGGGGTTCTGTCCGTGATCTTCTGGTTGCTGCAGGCTGTGCCGAGTTTCTGGGCTACCTTTAGAGAACTGGCAGGAAGTTGCTCTCTTGGCTTTGCACGCAGGGAAATGACAGCAACAGCATGGCAGAGATGATTATGGTCCCTAGATGAACATCTGGTCTTTTCCTTTAACTCAGCCTAAAACTCAGCCTCAGGCAGACACATGGCTCCTCACTTAAGACTACATTTCCCAGCTTCCCATGCAACTATAGCTGGGCTTTTCAGCCAATGAGAATGAGGGGATGTGTGCCCCTTTTTGGGCGGTACCCATGGGGGAGGCCTATTGCTCTACCCAGCTTTTTCTCCTCACTAGCTAGACTGCTCCTGTAAGGGCAGGAGCCAAAACAATCATCCTAGGCCTCAAGATGGAAGCCACACGTTGGTGATAGAAAAGTTCAAGATAGGGTGATTCTGGGCCTCTGGTGCTAGGAAAGTGTCTAAGTTAATTTTGGGCTGCTTCTACAAGGCCCATTACTGAGAGGAAATACAAATAAAACGAGGAAAACTTTCTCTCGTTTAAGTCACTATTATTATGGCCTTTGGTACAACACCTGAATGTGTATCTTAATAGAACAAAGAACAGCCAACAGTTACAGAGATCTCACTGTGTGTCAGTATGAGGGTCCTGGCCTGAGACCACTGGTCTCCTACTCATGGGTACAACGACAGAATAAAAGACAACAGATATGTTTTGGTTACAAGGGACACCAGGATGGTTAAAGCCCAAGTTGGGCTAGGACCACTAGGAACGATGTCCTTGGCCTATATTAGGTGAGTAGCACGATTGAGGGGTGTGCTGGTGGGCTGCAGGAAGTGACGGGGTAGAGGGGAGCTGCCGACTTGGTTTAGGTTTAAAAATTGAGGTGCATTGCATTTTTGGAGAAGCACACAGGAACAGATCTCAGTTAATAATAATCCGGCTACCTGGTAACTAGACCACTGAGCTGGAATTTTCAGGAGGCCATCCTGGGTTGCCTTGTTATCTCGCTTTAAGGTACCAGAACTTCACAGACTCTTTGGTAATCTCAACTCTGGCTGCTGGCTTAAAGATTAATCTGTCCTCAAGCCAGCCAGGGGTCTTGGCAGGAGTCATGCAGGACTAGAACAGACTCTCAATTTATTTTTGTGCCAATTTATTGATATTAATTATTGCCTGCTCTGTACTGCACTAAGCTGGTCCTCAGTATGTCAGGACTGTTCTGAGTGCTTCATGTGTGGTGGCACCGAAGTTGCCCTTCACCACAAGCTAAAGTGCTGGTGAGCAGGAGGCTGTCCTGCTTCCCAGATCCATGTCCTTTCTCCTCACTGTCCTCAACCAAAGCCAGTTCTGGCCCCTGTCCTCAAGACCCTCATTGTCTCTGCCACATACCAGATGATGATGATGTACACAGGAAGACAGTCCACATCTATCAACCTGCTCAGGTTAAGACACAGCACATGTATTTGATTCTTCAGAAAGATTGTGGTTGATTAACTAAGGGTCATTTTGTAACACCCCGCTGAACTGAATCAGCATGTGCTGGGTGTAGAGGGCCCAACTAAGGACTGTTGCCAACAGCATAAAAGGGGGAATGGAGGGGAAGGTGGTGAGCTGTTGATTCTCCTGGAGAAGCCTGTCATGCTGGTTTTCCTGATGTGAGCTCAGCTGTTATCATCAGAGGAGCTCATGTCCTTGCTGTCACTGAGGATGGCTGGGGTTCTTTTCAGGAGAATTCTTGTCCTTAAACTGAGCATCATTTCCTGCTCCAGTGCAGACCCCTCAGCTGCTGTCACAGATCCTTCATCCCATTGGCGTAGATTTTCTAACTTCTACCACTGACCTTTGGGCCTTCTCATCACAGATCCTTGATACAGACTTGCATGAGGCGTTGTCATGGGCTCTAGGCTTCCAGCTGGACTCATGCAGGACATTGCTGTGAGATTCAGGCCCTCAGCAGGATTGTTTGGGTCTCTAGTGTATGAACTGATCTCCTGTACTCTTTTGCATTTGACTCTTGGGGTGAGTATTATAAAATAATCCTATAAATTATGTGTCCTGTATCAACTCTATTCCCTTGTGAACTCTGGCTACAATAAAAGTATAGCAGTGCAGTGCATGACAGGCATGGTGGTCACTTGCTGGTGGCCATGGCAGCAGATGCTCTGTAACAAGCCACACACCAGCTCAGCCCCCCTTCTTTCTTCCCACTTACGAATGCCAACTGCAACGTAAGGAAGCAAGAGTGACCTTACCGAGGACATTGTCTTGGATTTGCTCCAATTTACTCTCTAAAATTTGGTTTTGTCCACAAGTGTTCCATTATTGGTAACATCTCTTCTTCATCCTCATACCTGAGTGCAGTTGGCCTGGATATCATGGCATCGAGACAGAGAACCACCAGCCTGGGGTCTGCTCAGTGATTTGATGAGTCTCCAGTCGTGCAGCATTCCTTCCCTGGTCTGCAGAACCACAGGGCAAGGATGGAGCATGCGACCTCAGCAGAATGGGTGTCTGCTCGCTGTGCCTCCACAAGCATCCTGCAGCCTTTAGTATTTACGGCATCTTGCTTCCCCTCAGGGAGATGCCTACTGCCTATTCCATGGGAATTAGTGTCTGTCCTTTCCAAATATTAGGCCTGTGATCAAAAACAAACCATAGGATCTCTCCTAGTATCTCGATGTGGTAGCTCAGGCAACAAGATGGATGGCAGTGGGCTGGGGATGCTGCTTGGGGACAGAGCACTTGCCTGCTGTGCACAAGGCCCTGGGTTTCATCTCTAGCACCAAAACCAAAACCAAACAAAAAGGAGAGCAGTTTGGACTGGTGTCTTGACCTTTGGGCTCTTACTACTTGGAAGTCTGAGTAGGACCCATAGAATTAGTAAGTTGGGCATCTTGGGAGGCTGATGTAGTCAGACTGCAAGATCCAGGCCAGCCTGGGCAGCTCAGTCAGGCCCTGTGTCAAATTTTTTTTTAAAAAATAAGGAAGAGGAAAGCTGGGGAAAGGCCTTGTATTTAATCTCCCGTACCACCCAACAAACAAACAAATATTATGGAACGTTCAAAGTTATTCCTCAAGTGCTGCCACTCTGTCTTGTACTTCATTACATGTTGTTGAATTTTCTACTGCTAACAGGTAGGAAATTGTACGTCATTTGCATGAAGTGTGTGGCCTGGAGTCCTGTTCTCTCCAGCATGGCTGCCCTAACCTCCTTTCCATTCTTTATTATTCTCTTTCCTGTTGGAATAAACACCCTAGTGCAGTGCATTGGATTAGTT